TTTCTATAATTAATATATTGAATTAAAAAAATCAAACAGACACATTTCTAAAAATTTCTTATTTTTGAAATATTTAGCTGTCAAGTTACGCATAAAACTATACAAAACCTGTATTGAGCCCCATGTTAATTCATCAAACTTCAAAAGACCCCCTGCAGAACAGTTCTAAAGTAGTAAAGCCCATATTCATAGTATGTTACAATTATATGATTATCTTCAAAATAAGAAGGGTTAAATTTTTTCTTTAGCCTAGTTCCAAAGATGTTGACGTTTGAATTTTGGAAATCTCCATTGGCTGCCATTATAAAACACTATAAATATGGCTTCACTAAACTGTTAATTTCTCAAAAAGTTTACTATGGAATTTTCTGATATTGCAGATTTCTATAATTAATATATTGAATTAAAAAAATCAAACAGACACATTTCTAAAAATTTCTTATTTTTGAAATATTTAGCTGTTAAGTTACGCTTTAAACTATAGAAAGCCTGTGTTGAGCCCCATGTTAATTCATCAATCTTCAAAAGACCCCCTGCAGAACAGTTCTAGAGTAGTAAAGCCCATATTCATAGTATGTTACAATTATATGATTATTTTCAAAATAAGAAGGGTTAAATTTTTTCTTTAGCCTAGTTACAAAGATATTGACGTTTGAATTTTGGAAAATCTCCATTGGCTGCCATTATAAACCACTATAAATATGGCTTTACTAAAGTGTTAATTTCTCAAAAAGTTTACTATGGAATTTTCTAATATTGCAGATTTCTATAGTTAATACATTGAATTTAAAAAAATCAAACAGACACATTTCTAAAAATGTCTTATTTTTGAAATACTTAACCGTTAAGTTGGGCAGGAAACTATTGAAAACCTGTATTGAGCCCCATGTTAATCATCAATCTTCAAAAGACCTCCTGCAGAAAAGTTATAGAGTAAAAAAGCCAATATTCCTAGTATGTTACAATTATACGATTATCTTTAAAATACAGAGGGTAAAGTGTTTTCTTTCGCCTAGTTCAAAAGATATTGCCGTTTGAATTTTGGAAAATCCCCATTGGCTGCCATTATAAACCGCTATCAATATGGCTTTACTAAAGTGTCCTTTTATCAAAGTCAACTATGGAAGTTTCTAATATTGCAGATTTCTATAGTAAATATATTGAATTAAGTGATAACTTACTGAAATACTGGCAAAATGTTTTAGGCTTATGCCATTATAGCACTAATAGCCGTAAGACCTCTGCTAGAGAGGGAATTTCCAATATGGCCATTCAATTAAAAATGTCTGCTATTTTCTGCTATTTTGGATTATTTTTTTTATAATCCGACTTCAATTTTTTTTGCCTATGGATTTCTTTGAAGGAGTTCATTCTATAAATAAATAAAATTATAAGATGCACGATTTTTGCTATTTGTAATGAAATAATCATTGTACATGTTGACATTTTATCTTTTGAAACAATTAAGTATGAATAAAACAACATTTAGTTTACAAACTTGAAAGACATCAATATATCTATTTTACTTGAAAGGGGATGCTGTTGGCGTAAGTTTCTGATATTAAGTCCTAAACATTGGGTGAAACATTGTACCGTATATTTATTTTCAAAATATGTGATTTAAATCATTTTCAGAGCATTTACGATGTGATGATAACATGAGTTTAGTTATCAGGGACTTATCAAGACTTATTATTACGTTTTAGTAATTTATTGTATTAAAAAATGTATGTAATCTTGAAGAACATGTAAAGCAAAGACCGTAAAAAGTTGAAAGAAATAGGATCTACACTTTAAAGGGGCAATAAGGACTGTAGAGAAAATAGGAAAGTTTTTCAATTTTTTCTGAGCTATCAAGGCAACATTTGGTTTAACGTCTTCTTTGACATACTTATTTTCTTAAAATGTATGGATAAATTATCAATTTCAGCATTAAGAAGTGTAAATTCAGTTCAAAGCTTCAAAAAGGGGACTTCCACTTTTATATTTTTAAGATCCACCATGTTTCAAGAGGAATATCAGCTAAAATAATGTTTATCTAGGGAGTTTGTTTGTAGATAATAAAAATAGATGCTAGTCTTGATGAGATATCCAAACTTAAATATATTTTGACACTGGTCCATGATAGTTGAATGACCCCTCTGCACTAATTATTGCACCTTTAATCAAAGGCATATTTATGGCGGTGTATGATGACAGCCAATAGACATTTTTCAGAATTCAAACGCCAATATCTTTGGAACTAGGAAAGAAAAAATGTTTTGACCCTTCTTATACTTTGAAGATAATCATGCTATTGTAACACAATAGCAATATGGCTTTATTACTCTAGAACTGTTCTGAGGGTGGTCTTTTGAAGATTGATTAAAATTAACATGGGGCATAGGTTTTCTATGGTTTTGTGTGCAACTTAACGGCTAAATATTTCAAAAGTAAGAATTTTTTAGAATTGTGTCTGTTCAATGTTAGATTTTTTTAAATTCAATGTATTAACAATAGAATCTGCAATATTAGAAAATTTCAGAGTAATCTTTTTGAGAAATTGACACTTTAGTAAAGCCATATCTATAGTGGTTTATAATGGCAGCCAATGGAGATTTTCCAAAATTCAAAACGTCAATATCTTTGGAACTAGCCAAAAAGAAAAAGTTTAATCCTTCTTATTTTGAAGATGATTATGTTATTGTAGCATACTAGGAATATGGGCTTCATTGCTCTAGAACTGTTCTGCAGGGGGTCCTTTGAAGATCGCTAAATTAACATTGGGCTCAATTAGTTGTTTTTTATAGTTTCGTGTGCAACTTAACGGCTTAATTAAAAGATTTTCAGAAATGTGCATGTTTCATTCTTTTAAGTCAATATATTAACTATAGAAATCTGCAATATTAGAAAATTCCATCGTGAATCTTTTGAGAAAATGACATCATTTTAAGTAAAGCCATATTGATAACGGTTTATAATAGGAGTCAATAGGAATTTTCAAAAATTCAAACGCCAATATCTTTGGAAACTAGGAAAAAATAAAAATTTAACCCTTTTTATTTTAGAAATAACCGTGTTATTGGAATAAACCAGTAATATGTGCTTTATTACTCTAGAACTGCTCTGGCGCCGGTCTTTTGAAGATTGATAAATTAACATGGGGCTCAATATAGGATTTCTATAGTTTCGTGAGCAACCTAATGGCTAAATATTTCAAAAATAGGAAATTTTTAGAAATGTGTCTGTTCGATTTGTTTAAATTCAATATATTAACAATAGAAGTCTGCAATATTAGAAAATTCAATAGTGGACTTTTTGAGAAAAGGACACTTTAGTAAAGCCATGTTGATAGTGGTTTATAATGGCAGCCAATGGAGATTTTCCAAAATTCAAACGTCGATATCTTTGGAACTAGGGAAAATAAAAAATTTAACCCCTCTTGTTTTGAAGATAATTATGTTATTGTAACATACTAGGAATATGGGCTTTATTGCTCTAGAACTGTTCTGCAGGGAGTCATTTTAAGATCGCTAAATTAACATTGGGCTCAATATAGGTTTTTTATAGTTTCATGTGCAACGTAACAGCTTAATATTTCAAAAATAAGAAATTTTTAGAAATGTGTCTGTTTGATTTTTTTTAAGTCAATATATTAACTATAGAAATCTGCAATATCAGAAAATTCCATAGTAAACTTTTTGAGAAAATGATATTTTATTAAAGCCATATTGATAGCGGTTTATAGTGGGAGTCAATGGGAATTTTCCAAAATCCAAAGGCCAATATCTTTGGAACTAGGCAAAAGAAAAAATTTAACCCTTCTTATTTTGAAGATAATTATATAATTGTAACATACTGGGAATATGGGCTTTATTACTCTAGAACTGTTCTGCAGGGGGTCTTTAGAAGATTGATGAATTAACATGGGGCTCAATGTAAAAATGCAAAATTTTCAAGGGCTGCTATTATTAAATGTGGGCACTTTTCATTACCACTTCGTTAGATATCAAATCTATATGTATTAAGGATACTTTGGTCAAAAAATGGTGCTTTATATATAGCAAGTGCAATTGAACAGCTAACTGGCCCCACTAGAAGGACTAAATAAGTATTTGATACATTTCCAAATACATTCGCATTTGCAGAAACGTTGCTTGAAGGTTAAAATAGATTATCTAATGATTAGGTACAGTTCTTTGAGGAAAGAAGTAATTAAAATTGATTTAGTCAACATGTGTGTATTTTACTTGGCAGTTGATCATCTAGTGATCATAGCCTACTATCAATAATACAGATCTCGTATAGCACATGCTATAAACTAGAAGTCTGGGACCCCTAATCAAGGGTTTATTTAATACCCGGGGCTTAAGTTGTGTACCAAAAGAAACGAGAAACGACACGACAACCGGGGCTTTGTATGATCATTAGACAATGGGGTTTAATGGAGTTGTGTTTAATTGGCTAATTCAAATCGGATGCGGTAAAAAGCAAACGCCAATTTGCGAACGTTCCGGGAATTACGTTTTCCTTGCCCTAATGGCCTTTGAAGTGGGTTACAATTCATAAATAAGAGTGGAGTTTGCTGAAGCTAAACCTATAAGTTTCAACAAAGGACCATTCTAGGTTTGGAGAACGAAGTTCATCAGTCTACTGCACGTTACGCCTGCTTTGGATAATTTCAGTGATATTTTTACATCTTGTAGATTTAAATGTCCTCTTTTGATTATTTAATTTGGGTGATATTTCTATATCTTTCATAAAAAAATATTAGCCAAGGAGACTGTTCTCCAAACCGAGACGAATGAACGTTTATTGCCGATTACAACACCAAGAAAGTTCTTTTTTGGTTTATATTTCAATTTTAAGAAAGTTCTTTTTTTGGTTTATATTTCAATTTCAAGAAAGTTTTTTTTGTTTTATATTTCAATCTCAAGAAAGTTATTTTCTGGTTTATATTTCAATTCCTTTTACATTACAACTATGCTAAATAAAAAACTCACATTTTCTGCAATTCAGCAAGTCTTCTACTGCGAATACTAAACGTTTTCTTTAGACTTTACTTTCCGTCCTGGTACCCGATACCTCAAACTGCCTCAGACTGCTAATACACGTACTTGAATATCAACTATGATATTCTGAAGAGTTTATGCGCGTATCGTATTCATCCGAACTCCCGTGCAGTGATACCGAGACACTGCATGGGAATTCGGTATTCATCCTATGGCCTAAGCACACACTTGTATCCTTCCGCTTTTCCAGGGGACAAAAAATTAAAAAATAAAAGAATATAGTTCCCGAAAGCAATCTATAGCAGTACTATATCTTGAGAGAAAATGTTGCAGTTATGCATGTCGTATTGATGACATCTTAGGTCGTGGTGAGTAAAACACCCTCCCTCTTACATTGATATAAAAAGAGAGTATTTATCTTATTTTTACTATTACTAGACTATTCTCTATTCTGTGGAGAATAACAGAGGATGACTTTGTTCACGTGCCCTAGCCGTGCCTTAGGTATACAGTCTATACGCATCTTTTTATACATGAACTTTAACCTCATCAAAATTAATTTTCTTTTACAACATAATCTGTCAATACACTAGATGCGAGTAGAAATAATCTTGATCTAGTCATTAAATATTCAAAATTCAGTCAAAGCATTTTTAGAGATAAGCTAAAACGGAGGCAATGGATTTATAATATCGCGGATATTTTTTCAAAAAAGCCTGTTGTGTGATTCTGGTAAAACTTTCACAATCGATAAAAGATTTTTGTAGTATAATACATTTGTCGTTTCCGATACACAACCTCATACATTGGATCAGAACTCTCGAAATTCCAGCAGAGGGATCGTATCGTCCGGGGCTTGGCAGACTTTTAGTGAACTTGAATTTTGCTGAACTATTGATAGCTCGTTTTTGGTAAAATGTCACGTTTGCTTCATTCCAAAAATTAGATGTTCCCAATCCGTATTTATACACAAATAGTGCAAATGAGGATGACGATGAATTCGTACATCAATCTATCATCTCTCTACGCGTAGTATAATAGAATTTTCAATATCAACATCCAATACAAGGTACATGTATTGAACTTGAGGAGCAAATGCCAATTTCAAGCAAATCGACTTTTATTGCAGAGTATTAGCACTCCATAAAAATTGTAGCAGAAATTTTGTATTTAAAGTTGTGTAAACAGAGGAGATTTGTCTTCAACTTTAATTAATAGTTCGGCACTAATTGCGCGTTGATTCGAAAACACATAGAGCGAGAAGTTTAAGATATTCCGACTCACAAGTAATACACAATTTTATATAATTCTCTTCTAAGTCTACACCACCTTACACAATTAACAATTCGTGCTACGTAATTTTAATAAGATTGTATATTCCAAACTCAACATTCGGGTGGCCTAGGGTGATTATCGTTTATTGTGTTTCGCGTCTTAGTCACACGCTTCAAGAATGTATACTCTATAATTAAACAGTCAATGGCAAAACACGTGAGGATTTGATTATTCGAGGACGCATCATTCTGCACGTATTCTTCATGATAGAGTCAATAGATTCAGAGACTTACATAAAGATGGTTTAGTATATGTGTTAGTTATCTAAAATAAGTTGCAAGGTCAACTTACACACTCCCCTCCATAAGTTTGGCAACCTTAGCTCCCCCATTGAACTACGTGTTAAAGCCTCTTTACCTTTGAAATTTTATTTACTTAACCTGCGATGAAAATACTTATACTATTGATGAAAACGTAATTTGACTTTATTTCCAATACCTCCAAATTTTTTCAATTTTTTCCTCAATTACAATAAGTTGAAAATTGATGATAAATTTGATGAATTCTTGAAAATCAACATTCCCATGTTAACCAATGGGAAATGGTAAGTTCGCCGCAAGTCATATGGCAGAATATCCATCCATCCAAGTCCTTGCAAAAATACAACTTGAGTAGGCAATTGAATTTGCTAACTTTATTGAACAAAAAATTGATATGTTTCTTCAGGTTGAACAAAGTTATAGGGCTTTAAAGTCAAAATTGTTTTTCAAAAAACCTCTCCCATTAAAATTATTTTTAAAAATGACTTTGAAGCACTGTAACTTTAGTATTCATCAAATTAACTAAACACTTAATGTACAAAAAAGTTAGACAATTCAATTTTCTATATAGAAATACTTTTTGCTGAATCTTTTACTGAAAAGACATCCTGATTTCTGATTTTTCTCGAACCCTCCATTTCCCTGCCATTGCAACTGGATTACATGGGAATGACGATTTTCAAAAATTCATCAAATTTATCATCAATTTTCGACCTATTGTAATTGAGGAAAAAATTGAGAAAATTTGGAGGTATCGGAAATAAAGTCAGATTACGTTTCCATCAATATTATAAGTTATTTCATCGCCGGTTAAAGATTCTCACGTATAAAAGGCGAATCCAACTCAAATCCATGCAGGGGTGTATGAGGTACTCGAATAGGAAAGAGCTCGTGAAATCTGAATTTATATGCACATGGACAATGTTTTTGTTTGGAGTTATTGAAGAAAAAGTGATATGGGTGTGGTTCCGGATTTGAAATCATTGCTGGAAAATATGATTTTAATACGTGAAATTATATCTATAAATACAGCACTAAAAATAACAGTACACATGAAGTACATGTATGATTGTGTCCAGAAATGTTTGAAACCCTTACGGAAAATTCTGTCTGCATTTTGTCACCATTGCTCTTTCTTCCCGCATTCTAGTGCTGTTTGAATGAATATATTAATTAATGTATTTCTAACTAAAATATATCACTTTTTTCTTATAAACCACAAACATTTAGATCATAAAAATATTATTCAATACTTGAGTGAGCACGATATGCAAGGGTTACTAAGTTGACACAGTAAATGACCACTGATATTGTGTTAGTCCATGCACACAGCGTATTCTGCTAATATACATTTGCTAACACCCCCACTTTCATAGTGAAGTGACTAATTGGTTTATGTTTACGTTTTAATGTGTTTTGGGTTCCTTGTTACAGCAAGGGGGGCCAGTAAAGTAGACTAACATGTTTGCATGGCAAATTTTGATCGAATATGTGAGACACTTTAAGTAAATAAAAATTCAAACGTAAAGAGGCTTTAACACATAGTTCAATGGGGGAGCTAAGGTTGCCAAACTTATGGAGGGGAGTGTAACTTAGGTAACAAGCCTGTGCCTGGTACAATAAATGGACAATTAGAGTCTTAAAATGTCATCGCGTCCCTCAATTGGAAATATGAGGCATACGAATGCAAGTAAACATCTTGAAAACGTCACTTATCTTGCTTCATTTGGATTACGGTTCTGCTACCCCACAGATTTTTCAAACTGGATAGGTTACAATATTAAGATCTTGTATTGTTAGTGTTTTTTCATTGAACAATCTAATCGTAACAAAGTTCTTAAAACTTTAAACTTTGTACCAAACAAAAAAAGAAAATAGAAAACTAATGAATACATGGTGTCCAATTTTTGAAAATGCATTTTTATACATTACGAGTGAGGAGATCATATTAAAAGAAACAGCTGCTCGACATGGTAGAGATAGGATCCTTATTTCTAAATAATACCATTATATGAAATTTGAAGAACGTAGTCTTATTTTTTTTTTTTTTTAAATATTTTTATTGTTATTTCTTTATTGTTGGATGAACGTTTGGCCTATTGGGGCATCAGTACAAATAAATCCTATACATCTCACTAGGAATATTTATTATATACTGTACACAGGTAACACTATATCGTAAAAACAACTCTCGAGCCTTAAAAACACCTTATTTTTAGTCAAAACTAGTTTCGTGTGCAATAAAAATGTAATAGAAATCACATGTCGCACTTTTGTTCAAGCTGTCAAAACTCTAGGTCAAGATGACTTTTATGATAGAGAGATAGACCTGGGAAACCGGCAAAGTAATCACAAAAGGATATTCAATATTTGCTCTGAACAGTCTGTGAATTTCTACATTAATATATACTGGAACGGTAAAGTCAGATACCGTTGTCACAAATGGCGAACACAAAAGTCGCTTCAACTTCAAAATTGAAATAATTTACAAACACAACGGCATTTGGTAAAACAGTGTCCGTTGCCCCGTATCTCATTTTGATCGGTTAGATTAAAGACTTTACTTCGATGGTAGAACATAATTAACTGTACAATGAGTATAAATACATTTTGCTTGATTGTTGTCCCAAAGGAATTTAGTCTAGGTGCTCTTTAAACATACAGTTCATGAAAACCTAATTGAAGCGACGGTTATGTCCGCCATTTGTGACTTTACCGTTGTCAGGCTATTCCAGTGTGCAATTATGGGACACGTGTCTTCCAGTCAATAGAGTCTACATAGGATATGATCCCAAGTTTCAGATAGGCCTGCCTGCATATCTGCTAGACCGATCAACCCTGGGTTAATATGATATTTAGTTATTTGACATTTTAAAGGGTTACGATAACCTATAAACAAAAGCGCATTTTAGGCAGATTGATAGAATGGTTTTGAAGTTAAAAGCCCAAAGAGCTAAAACATAATGTTGGCAAAAACACTTTAATATGTTTGTATCTTTTATTTGTTATCTTTTACAACGTATTGAAGAAAGAGGTAAACAAGTTATGCAGTAACATAGGCTTTCATAACACCCTCTAAATAAAATAGCCTAAACATTTGGGTACACCTTGACATTTTTACTGGGTCAAACCAGATTGCGTTGTGACCTTTTCTTTCCTTAAAAGTACAAGACAACGCAGATTAAGACCGTGTTGATCTTAATACAGGATGCACTGGCGGATTCGAGGAGGATCTTTTCTTTAAAAAATGGGCCTTAAATTTTCTAAATTTGGGCTCAATTTTGGGTTCTGGGGACTCAACAGTGGAGAGGTTAAGCTAACGATGTTTTTCACAACGTAACCGTGAACGCAAAGTACAAAAATTAACAAAGGAATGTATCGAGCGCTCATAGTTTTATGCGCGCTTAGTCTACTTCAGATACTCTTTCAGCTTCAGAGTTTCGGGTTTAGAACGGGAGATTTGAATATTTGACGTTGGGTCAACGGGAACCATTTTACTCGTGTCTATTGAACACTATGCTGTCAATTTTGATTTCGATGCACAGTTGAATTCTTGCTGAACACGATGATGTATGTCATGCATGATTTAGCGCCAAAAATCTTACGAAACGAGCTCGTTTAAAATATGTATTAGAAAACCAGCTATAAAACCGCATCAATGACATACTATAGAATCATTACACGCTATGGTGTAGTCTAAACAAACACTGGATTTGAACGGCTATTTATATGAGAAGGCTACATGAAT